CCTACCTGAGCTGGACCCTAGGCTTCCCCAAGTAACTCTATTTCTAAGCCAGCCTCTGGTCACTGGATCTTTCTCCATGGAATAAGATATGTCTATGATGGGTGTGATGCTACATGCTTTGTCTTAGTTAGGGCTTCTACTGCTGTAAGAGACACTATAACCGTGGCCGCTCTTAGAAGGGAAACCCCTTAAGTGGGGGCTGGCTTACACTGTCAGAGGCTCAGTCCACTGTCTTCAGAGCAGGGAGCCTGGTGGCATGCAAGCAGGCGGTTATGGTGCTAGAGAGGCAGCCGGGAGCTGCCTGACCCTCGGGCAACAGGCAGAGAAAAAATGACTGGCACTGCCGTGGGCTTTTGAGACCTCTCCCAGTGACACACTTCCTCCAACAAAATCACACATCCTAATCCTACTCAAACATTCCACCAATTTAGCCTAAGACATTCAAATATATATGTGCCTCTGGGGGGCAGTCTCATAAAACCACTACGCGCCTGTAATCCCCCACATTGGGAGGTAGGTGGACGGCATTTTACGTCAGTTGGGAGACTTCAAAAAATAAAAACAAAGGCTGTCCCGGTCTTCCAGCTGCTCAGGCCAAAGCCTCTGGTGTCCCCTGCTTTGAGTCTCTTTCTCCCCTCCCCTCGAACCAACTGACAGTAACTGTCACTTTTACCTGAGACCGCCAGAGCGTGCCTGCCCTGCCCACCTGCCCAGCATCATTTTCCCCAGACGACCTGCTGGGACTGCATGTGATGCTAAGATGCAAATGTCTCCTGTTTTCCGTGGTCTCTGGATTGCAACTGCCTCCTTCAGGTGAACTGAGGAAACTAAAACTCCCCTTCCCAAGGGGCCCCCAAAGTCACAGAGACCCCTGAATCTGCAGAACCCTCCTCTGCTCTGCCTTACTTGACATTAGACATCCTTCTTGCCCTCACCGTAGAAGAGTCCTTCCCTCAGGCCCGGAAGGAATGCAGCAGAGTGAGGCTAAGCCCCCAGCAGGCAGGCAAGGTGGGCGCATGCGAAACATCCCATCAGTGGTAGCTATGCCTGTCTAAGATCTCCAGAAAACCCCAAAGGGCAGATTTCTAGAGTGTTTCATGGGCAGGGCCATGAGGAACGCTCTGTGCTCTTCTCCAATTCACCTGTGTCTCTTTACCTTCCCCAGCGTCTTTTAGGACAAGCAGTGTAAGTGCTTCAGAGCCCTGCGAGCCACCCCAGCGACTTCACTGAGGCCAAGGACTAGGCTGTCTGTCTGTCTGTCAGTCAGAAGGACAAGTGAAACAGTCTGGGCTTGTGGCAGGGGTCTGGAATGGGGTCGGGGTCTCAATACAGGACTCCATTCAGACTGTGTGTCAGATCAGCGGTGGCCGGTTCACTCGGAACAAAACACCCCAAGACCCAGTGGCCTCCTTTAGCTCCCCGACCTGTGTCCCTGAACTCACCCCACCGCCGTCCAACCCCAAAGCCCCAAGTCTGGCGATCACTGCCTCCAGATCTGCTCCACAGTCTCCTTGTGAAAGGCCTTTCCTAACTTCTCATCCAACGACAGCCTCCCAGCATTCCTTGCATCTCCTTCCAGGGCTATCCTCTCCCATCAGCCCTTAACAGAACTTGTCTTGTTTAACGTTTGTCTCACTGAGCTGAGAGCACAGGGCTTGGTACAAGTTTATAATAAACACTGATAGGGAGATGAATGAATGAATGAATGAATGAATGAATGAATGAATAAGCAGGCAAAGACCTGGATGCCTGGTGTTGTGTAGACTGAATGCCTGTGCCCCTCCAAATTGCCTACAGTGAATCCTAATCCCCAATGTGACAGATGTCTCATCTTTGGTTGGAACCTTCATGAAGGAGATTATTGTCATTGTATAAGAGAACCCAGGCTGGGCTATAGCTCCATGGAAGAATGTCTGCCTGGTACACACAAAGTCCTAGGTCCAACCTCCAGTACCAAAAGAAAAAACTCCAAACACACTCAAAACATCTCAGAGAACTCAGAGCGGCCGCTAGTCCTCCCTCTTCCATCCGAGGATACGAGAGCTCTCCTAGAATCTGACAGACTGGCACCTGACCTCTGGTTCCCAGTCTGCAGAATCTACCACGAAAAGTGGATTTCTAAGAGCTGGCTGTGAGAGTGAACGCTTTTAATCTTTCCGCTCAGGAGGCAGAGGCATGCAGAGCTCTGAGTTCAAGTAGGCCAGGTCTGCAGAGCAAGTTCCAGAATTGCCAGGGCTACACAAACCCATGTTAAGCAAAACAAACAAAAAAGAAAAGCAGATTTCTGCTGTTTACATGTGCCCTGTTCATGAAACTCTCACAGCAGCCTAGATACATGGTATATTATTGTTTGTCTATTGCTGTGAAGAGACACTCTCATGAAAGAAAGATTTTAATTAGGGGCTTCCTTTCAGAGACTAGTTCATTACCATCATGGCAGAAAGCACGGCCGCATGTGGGCAGGTGCCGGAGCAGTAGCTGAGAGCCAGATCCTGATCCATAGGCACAGAGAGAGGAGCCAGGCAGAGAGAGGAGAGACAGAGAGAGAGAGAGAGAGAGAGAGAGAGAGAGAGACAGAGACAGAGACAGAGACAGAGAGAGAAGAGACAGAGAGAGAGAGAGAGAGAGAGAGAGAGGAGAGAAAGAGAGAGAAATCCCACAGATTGGGCTTTTGAAACCTCAAAGCCCACCCCAAATAGCACACTTTCTCTAACAAGGCCACACCTCAAAATCTTTCTAATCAAAGAGCTCCACTCCCTGGTGACTAAGCATTCAAATCCATGAGCCTGTGGAAGCCATCGTATTTAAACCACCACATTCTACTCCCTGACCCGTATAGATTTATAGCCACATCAGAATGCAGAAAGGCACGCACTCCAATTTTCAAAGTCCCCACAGTCTATCACAGCCTCAACCATGTTTAAAAAGTCCAAAGCTCAAAGTCTCTTCTGAGATTCATGGCAATTCCTTAACTGTAACCCTCTGTAATATCAAAATCAAAGATCATGCCAGGCGTCAGTGGCACACGCCTTTAGTCCCAACACTCGGGAGGCAGAGGCAGGCGGGTCTGTGAATTCGAGGCCAGGACAGGCTCCAAAGCCACAGAGAAACCCTGTCTCCACATACTTCTAACACAAATGGCACAGACTATACACTGCCATTCAAAAGGAGGGGAGCAGTGATGACTGGTCTTGGTTGTCAACCTGATTACAGCTGGGGTGAACTACAAATCTTCATATATCCAACTCCTTTCAGCTTTGTTGACTAGAACATACTCTCTCTCTCTCTCTAGTTGGTTCCATACCCAGCCTGTAGTTGTTCTCTGAAGGTATCCCATGACTCTGGCATCTCAAATGTCACGGGGGTGTCTGATGAAATCTAGACTTCACCTTTACAGCTGCATGCAATGGCCTCTCTGGGCCCCGATGCAGGCACACCCCTGACACACACCTGGTCTCGGTGGATATCCTTAGCCACAGAGGGAGATTTCACTCCCCCTTTCTTGTATTCTAAAGCCAGAACCTGTGGCCAAAGGTGCCAAGTTCTGCTGCTTGATGGGGCTGGAACTCAGCCCCATCATTTAATTACATTTGCATCAACTTTCTGTTGTTGATGTTTCCTTCACTGATTAAGCTTTTCTTTAAATCCTTTTCACAAGTTAGCAGTTTCGCTGGGTGGGCTCCTGTCCTGAGGCCACCACCACTCACTCCCTTTATTCAGTAGAATGTCATGCTTTTCTTTTTACCTCCTTGAGGGCTGGATTTAGCTCTAGTACATTTCCTAGTGCTTCCTTTCTCCTCAAACTGTAAATTTTTTATTTTTCATTGCTCAATTTGCACCTTTTCATTATAGATCTGCATAAGACTGGCCACTAATAACCAAGCAACAGAGTCAAAACTGGGCTGTCTTGAAATCTCTGCTGCCAATGCCATTAATCCCAAACTCTTCAATTTAGCTTCAGACAAATTTTTTGGACAAGGACAAAAAGCAGCCATATTCATTGTGAAAATATCACAAGAACCGTCTGCAGGTCTCTTGCATAGCATTCATCTGAAACAAGATTCTCCAGCTGATCTGCAGTTCAAATCACGCTTGGCACCGCTGTCTTCTATGCCCCAGTAGGATGGCCCCTTAAGCACCACTTAAAGCGGCCAACCACTTCCTACGTCAAAATACCAAAGTCTTCTGTATTCCTCCAACAAACAGCATGGCCAGACCTGTCACAGCAAAACCCTACTCCCGGAACCGGCTTCTGTCTTCGCCACTCTGCTATTGTTGTGAAGAGACACCATGACCAAGGCAACGCTTATTAAACAAAACATTTAACTGGGGGTTTGCTTGTTTTAGACATTTAGTCCATTATCATCATGGCAGTGAGCTACACCCTGATCCATAGGCAGAGAGAGAGAGAGAGAGAGAGAGAGAGAGAGAGAGAGAGAGACTGGGCTTGGTGTGGGCTTTTGAAACCTCCAAGTCTGTCTACCCACAGTGATGCACTTCCTCCTAATCCTCTAATCCTTTCCAAGAGGTCCAGTCCCTGGTGAGTAAGCATTCAAATACATGAGCCTACAGGGTCCATCTTACTCAAATCACCACACATGGAAAACAGAACATCCTACGGATGTATTCCACTGTAGCCCCCAGGCATCTGAGACCTCGTGGAACAGATGAAATCAGCCCTCCCTCCAACCATAGCCCAATGAAATCTGAGCCAGCAAAGCTAGACAACAGCCATTTTCCTTTCCCCAGTCAGAGTACGCTGAAAATTTCATGTAGCTCTTTTCAGTTAAGCTTGTGGTTTTACGTAGCTATTTCCCCAGGAGATATGGTTCTCTGAACTTGGCTGATAACTGGGCTGTTTTGTGATCTCTGTCCTAGAAACCCTGGGGCAGGTGATTGGCTATGTCGTGAATCAATGAGTGACCGTGGCCATAAGAGGAGACAGTGGCACAAGCTGCTGGTTGAGACTTGGCCCGCACCGTAAGAGGCCCTGCTCCTACCTGTGCTCAGGTGTGAGTGCTGCTTCTCCGTAGTCTTCCTCACACTCACTGAGTTCAAGGTTGGGATGTTCCTGCTGCAGCAGCTGCTTCCAACCCTGCTCCAGGGCCTGCTGTCTTTGGGGGAAATGAGAGCCTGAGCCAGCGGTCAGCACAGCTACCTGCTCTCCACCCGTGTCCAGAGGCATCCCCCACCCCAAGAACACAGCATTGCCACGTTCCTGTGCCCTAAACCCTGGCTCTGATATTTACTTCCTGAGGGCCAGAGCTCTGTCTGGTGTCCAGTGGGCAATGCTGAGGAGGCAGCTTTGTCACACACTGTCACATACACCTGTGGATCCTGTTTTGACACTCACTCATTCTGTACCATCTCCAGATCTATTCCCCAGGTCTCAGCAACACAAGGGGAGGAGGCTTGTTCCCTCTGGTCTCTGGCAGCCACAGCTCACCACTTGACTCTCCAGCCTCAAGAGGCCAGAGCCTTCCCTCCCATCCCCACAGGCCCTTAGTATGAAAAACTCCATCGCCTGCCCAGGCCCTAGAAGCAAGCCTATACCTGATGATTTCTAGCTCCGAGACTCGCTCCTCTTACTCCACATGTCTAAGTCTCCATCCCCTAGAACCTAGCAGCTTAGGACATACGACCCATCAGAAGCTTGGAGCCTGCCCCAGGCCCTCACTCTCTCACACCCGTTCTCCCAGGACAGTCTGTGACGCAGGAAAACACCTTAGCCTCTTAAGATGCCTCCGTGATTCAGTGGGTGCCAGTGTTCACCCAGCTACCACTCACTGCGTTATCTCCATCCACATCCCTCGTACCTGTCAGCGCCCAGAGTTCCCGTCCAAGCCTTCCAGGAGCAGCATGGCCTGTCCTATCTGCCTCTCCAAGGTTCTAAGACAAGGCTGCTATCTGGGGCCCTTTCTTAGCAACTTAACAATATGGAAACTACCAGAACCCAGATATTCCCAGGTGAGGAGAGCGGCACCACCCACTCCCTACATCAAGTCGTCTCCAGCAACAACCACAACCAAACAACAGTTGTGAGACATTGAAAACCGAAGTAACTATGGAGGAAGGAGGGAGACTATCCCGACCCGACCCGACCCGAGGGGACAGCATGGAGAACCCCAGAGAAACCACTGCCCACCCCGTGTGTCCCAACTGTACTGGGCGGCAAGGTGGCGGGGCCTGTGAGTTCCGGGGAAGTCCCTGGAAGGTGGGCATGGGTGCTCCCTTCCAGCACGAGTTAAGAGCAGGAGCTATGCCAGTGCTCAGTGTACCTGTACACGTGTCTGCTTTAGTGTGTGTGCACATGTGCACACAGGGAAGGGATGGGAAGGGAAGAGCTGATCATGAGAATGATGAATAATCATGTTTACACACATCACACAGCAGGCCCGCCAACGGCCCCACACACGAGCAGCTGTCCCTGGTCACGTCACAGCCCGAGGTGTCTACTGTGCATAGGAGCAGCCGACAGCTCCACTCCAAAGGGCCCCTCCACACAAGCCAAGCTCCTCCTGAGAAGTCAGGTGCTGGATGCTGACACCAGCTGCACCCCGAAGGGATGTCTACTTCTGACCAGCATGGCTTTTGCCTTCAGACACTACAGGCAGGGACAGCAGCACTCAGAGCCTGACTTCTCGTGAGAAGCAGCTGTGCTGTGAGGCGGGAACAAGGCGAGCATCATCAGATAAAGTCAGGAGGAAAAGCAGCCAAAGGCGCTTCAGTGCTGGGCAGGCCAGAGGCCAGACTCAGGCGGAACCCCGGCTGTCTCCTTTCCCATGTCCCTCTGATGGGGCGGCCTTGTGCTGGGAGGAACAGGGACCTGAGATGAGGACTTCGCTGCTCATGTGGGTGGAGGCGCCCCTTCCTGACCTGACTGTGAGCCTAGGTTCCTTCCTAGTCAGCCCACGGGGCATGCCGCACCTGCTGGGAGCCTGCTCATGCTGCACAGCCTACATTTGTTCCACGCGACCCCACCCCTCTGACAGACCTCGTGCCACACTCACCTCTTCTCTTGCAGTAAGTAATCTAAGTTGTTGACATAGCACTCTGAGCCCCCAGAGGACATCTGCAAAGACAGGACACAGGCATGGGGAGGACTCTGACATTAATGCCTTCTGCTCGCTTTTCTGAACACAGGCAGCCCCTGTGTGCTTGTATGCTTTCAGATGCTGCTTTACAAGGACAAGCAGGCAGGGGTTTTGTCCGTCATTGCACCTCATGGAATGTGCCACACGCCTCATCCTGCACTCTGCTCTTTCCAACCAGAAATACACTTTGAGTGTCATTTCATATCCACGGCAAAGGGATTATGTAACTTATGTGTGTATGTGCATATGTGTGCATATACAGTATATATGAGTGCATGTGTGTATGCGCAGGTTTGCATATGTACACGTATGTATTTGTGTTTATAAAAGTGTGCATGTATGTATCTGTGTGTTATGCACTCAATTAACATTTGCCAGGGTGTTCTTATACATGACTACAACATAATTCATTAGGCCACACAGGGCTTGCTTGTGGGCAACTAAGAGGGTGAAGCCAAGGTGGCTACCGGCTTACCTTTGGAGTCACAGCCTGCTGGCTCGGACCCGCCATGTCCCAGAACAGTTTTTCCAGCGAGGTCAGCCCCACCTTCTGGTCTGAGTCTAGATGCTCCTTCCCCCAGGTCTCCCGAGGTCTCCTGCAGGCCTGAAGTATCTTCCTGTTCTTGTTTAGGAAATCTACAGGTGGTGGGCTCCAGTCAGTGGGGAACGAGTCTCGGGGCACCTGCATCTTGGGCCTCTTCCACGATTTGGGAGTTAGAGCTGCACAGCTGTTGCACTGAGTATTGAAGAGAGGGCTTTAAGAGGCTGCACTTCAGGTTAGGCAAAAGGGTAGGCACATCAGCGGCTGCTTGGACCCCTGTGAGACCCACTGGCGTCCCAGACAACAAGCCACACTGGGTAAGGAGAGGGACAACTTGGGATTGCTATGTGTGGATTGTGAGGGTAATAATTCTTTCCATCATGGCCGCCTTTGGTCCTACCCCATCATGTGTCTACCTGTGCAGGTAATGCCTACTCCTCCACAGGAAGGCTAGCAAAGTGTTCTGGGGCCTGGCCATCTGAAAGCTGTGGATGCTCTGTCCTCGACAGACTCAACTGATAGCTGAGGTGACCACCAGAAGAAACCTAAAGACTCTACATCGTTGTGTTTCCCAGAAGGCGGGGCCTGGTACCCAGGAGGAATTCTTCTCCAGGCCTATCTCAAGGAGCAGGCACCTTGTCACAGCTGAGACACAAGGGTCTCCTGGCTTCCATTTCAGCAACATAATAGACAAGCAGAAGCTCTCTCTCTGTCTGTCTCTCTCTGCCTCTCTCTCTCTCTCTCTCTGCCCCTCTCTCTCTCTCTCTGTCTCTGCCTCTCTCTCTCTCTGCCTCTCTCTCTGTTGTGTGTGTCTAGTTCCCCTCAGGAGAAAAGCTGTATTCTGAGATGATGTCCCACATCATCTATTCTGAGTTCAGGGGCTCCTATTCCAACTGGTTTCATCCTGTTTGTTATGAGGGTTGGGCCAGGGTAATCTGGTCTCTACCATGTCCCTGAAACCTGCCCAGATTTGGCCCATGGTTAGGGGCCTATACATTTTTATTGAATGAAGGAGCGATTTAAAGGGACGGTGGGACTGGCCAGGAAGGACCAGGCTCTGATAAGCAGGCTCCAAACTCAACAACAGTGAAAACAATACATATAAATACAACTGTGATATATCACTCACAACATTAAATTTGACAACTAATCAAAAAAATCTAAAAATGATTACAATGAATATTGACGTGTGGGAAATGGATTACCACTTACACTTAAAATGGCTCATTTGGGGTCAGCAAGGTGGCTCTGCTGGTAAAGCTGTTTGCCACGTAAATTTGGAGACCTGAGTTGGATTCCTGGGACCCACGTAAAGGCGGATGGAGAGAACCAAGTCCACAGGAGTCGTCTTTGTGTGAGCGCTGCCCGTGACTCAGCCACGTTCACATACACATGATGATAACACACTTTAAAATGGCTTCTTTCCTTTGTTCATCTTTTGTTGTGGTTTTGTTTTGGCTGTCCTGTAACTCACTATGCAGACCAGGCTGGCCTTGAGCTCACAGGGATTTGCCTGTCTTTGCTTCTCAAGTGCTGGGTTAAGGCATGAACCACTATACCTGGCTAAATGGCTTTTTTTTTTTTTTTTTTTTTTTTAAGGAACCAATCTATCAATGAAACATAACCACACACACACACAAAAAAAAATGCCTATACTCTGGAGTGACAGCAACAAAAACAGTAATCCAGAAAAATCCCTAAAATATAGGCTATCATAGGCCTCTATGAATTAAGCAGGTAAAACTCTCATGAACTATGAAGTTTAATTAAAACAAAACAAAACAAACAAACAAACAAAAACCCTGACAGCAGCTAGATGTAGTGGTGGCTGCAGGTGGCTCCCCATTCAGGAGGCTGAGGCAGAAGATCGCTGCTCTTGCAGAGGACTTGAATTCCATTTCCAACACCCACATCAGGGGCTCCTAACTGCCTATAACTCCAGTTCCAGGAACTCTGACGCCCTCTTCTGGTCTGCACAGGCATCTGTTTGCATGTGGTACAAAATAGCCAATCCGGCACACACATAAGTACATTTTAAAATAAAATACTCTTAAACAAACAAAGGAACAAAGGAACAAAGAAACCAGGCCTGGTGACACACGCCTTTAATCTCAGCACTCAAGGGATCAGAGGCAGAGGCAGGCAGCTCTCTGTGTGAATGAGGCCAGCCTGGTCTACAGAGTTCCAGGCCAGCCAGGGTTATACAGTGAGACCTTGTCTCCAAAAACAAAACAAAACACAAATAAAAACGTCACTAGTCATCTGGTTACAGGAATAGGAGAAGAAACTCTACAGTGCAAGTAGTCCCAGGTCCCTAAATGCCGAGGCTCAGGGACTGAACTAGTAGACTTAGAAACCTACGGCTCTAAACCTTAAGAGCTAGAGGGGCCTTTTGTTCCAGGCCAGAGATGTAAGGTTCCAGGCATTCAGGTTAGAGGTTGATCAAAGAAGCTTTAACTGGGGCTGGAGAGATGGCTCAGAAGTTAAGTACTGACTACTCTTCCAGAGGTCCTGAGGTCAATTCCCAGCAATCGCATGGTGGCTCCAGAGCATCTGTAATGAGAGCTGTTGCCCACTGCTGGTGTGCAGGCAGACATGCAGGCAGAACGTGTGTATGTAATAATAAAGAAATCTTAAAAACACCAGTGCCCCAGCACTTGGATGTCACTGTAACCCTCAGTGTCATCTAAACAGGCCCCGGGTGCTGGGATCCTCAGTCCTTGACAGCAGCCCGCAATACAGCTGTCAGGCTCAGGTTGTCTCAGACTCTTGGCCTTTGAGGACTAGCAGCTCCCTGGAACTTTCCCAGTGACCAGGGCCAGGAACTCCTAGTCTCCAAGGTCATGGTCCTCAGGGTCCCCACCCATTTGCCTCTCCTCCCCAGGGTCTCTGACCCAGTCACTTCTGGAGCTCCTCAGCTGCCCTCTTGTGGCTCCTGCAGCAATCTTCAGGGCTGCTCTATGGCCACACCCACCCTCTCTTCATTTTATCCACAAGCCCTTGCGATAGAATAAATTACAAAAGCAGGGCCAGAGATAGCACAGTGGGTAAAGGCATTTACCCAGGGAATCTGATGCAGATTCAATTCCTGGGATCCATGGTGGGAGAAGAGAGCCCAAAGCTGTGCGTGTGCAGGCCAGAGGCACGGCACTGGGTTCCCAGCAGTTGTAGTCACCCAGGGAGTTGTGAGCCACCTGACCCAGGCGCTGGAAACCAAACTCAAATGCTACGAAGAACTCCCGCCCGCCTCGCTGAGCCATCTCTCTAGCCTGCCCGCCCCTCCCTGGCAGTGCACTCTTGAATCCAAGCCAGGGGGAGGTGGAAGAGGGCCTGAACTTTGTCATTCTTGGTTACATGCTGAGTACAAGGCCAGCCTGAGCTACTCTGAGTCCTTGTCACACAAAACCAGATAAACAATCACACCAAAACAAAACAACCTAAAAGAACAACAAAGAAAGAGCAGGTAATTGGAAAAGGCCGGGGAGAGAAGCCTGGGGTTAATGCTTTGACATCTGGCAGCCAGCAGGGGAGTGTCTCCAGAACACCGGTTGACAGGGCTGTGCCATCATGGCAGCCCCTCACGCCAATGAAGGACCACACTTGAACCAAACACATGGGATTTTTCTGTTGGGCCACATGGAGAAATACTCCTGCTCTGGGTGGCTGAGAACAGGGCTACAGGGTCATTGAGGGTTTACAGAGACTGATGGCAAGGAGTCAAGCCAAAGTTGTTTCGGGAACAGTCATGGCAGAGTTAGTATTCTGGAGCTGGCACTACTTCAGCAGCAACTAGCTACAGACGGCTGTCCAGGGCTTACTACTAAAGATGTGCAGAGTTCCCAAAGGCTGGTGTGGGCACTCAGCTGGGGGCTTGACTCACAGTCCTTTGCACCATCCAAGAATCGAAAGATCAAATGCTGTCAATTAGTCACATTCCCTACTCCCTAATGTTGTGCCCTCTTACAAACATTAAAAGGGGCCTTGACAGGGGTCTAGGGAGGCGGCTCAATGAATCAAGTACTTTATGTGAGAGCATGAGTTCAGATCCTCAGCACCCATTTAAAAACCAGTGTGAGCTGGGCGGTGGTGGTGCATGCCTTCAATCCCAGCACTCGGGAAGCAGAGGCAGGCAAGTTTGAGGCCAGCCTGGTCTATAAAGCTACATAAAGAAACCCTGTCTCAGAAAAAAAAAAAAAAAATCCAGATGTGGTGGTACACACCCCAGCTTTTACATAATGTATTAATCACTGAACTAAAGCAACAGAGAGAAGTGATAGCAGCAATAAAGAATAGTCTTTACAAAGCAGTTTAGGAAGTCAGTAAGGACAGCCCATCCCGGGGAGCAGAGACGCTGACAGCGAGAGGCACTGTGTCAGCCACTCTGTAAAATGCCCAGTTGTGAGTTTTGGTTTTCTTTTCATTTTTATGAGACAAAGTCTCTCTACATAGTCCCGGCTATTCTGGAACTTGCTCTGTAGACCAGGCTGGCCTTGAACTCACAGAGATCCTCCCACTTTTGCCTTCCAAGGCCTGGGATTGAAGATATGCACCATAATACCTCACCAAACGTCCAGTTCTCAACATAATATTACAAAGTAATGCAAAAGCAAAACAAACGCTAAGATTATGATCTATTCACAGGGACGGGTAGGAACTACACGAGAGGGAGCCCCGCCCGACATTGGACCTTTTAGACCAAAATGTAATCAATGTTCTTAAATGTGTCCAAAGCATTCAGAGCCCATGACAAAGAGTCAAATGAAGCTAAGAATGGTATGCCACCAAGCAGCGTGTCAGCAAAGAGGCAGGGAGAAAAAAGGGCACCAAGCAGAGATTCTGGAGATGAAAACGTATAAAAACGGAAATAGAAACTATATAACAAAAACATTTTCCAACAAAAGTAGAGGCAGTGAGACCTCAGAAAAATGAAGGAAGAAAAATGAGTTATCAGTGAACTTGTCTTCGCAGATATACCAAACTCAGTAGAATGGGGTGACACTTGCTAGCGGAAGGGGAAGCTGCTTCCCCCAGTGCAGCCTCACTGGGTACATCGGCCGCACCCCAGGGTGGCCCATGCTCAGGGGCAATTGGCCAACACAAATGAACTCAGTACAACTTCTGCCCACTTTTTGTCTCATTTTCCTTTGTTTGGGAATTTTTTTGATTCGCTGGTCTTTTGCTT